ATCTCTTTTTGCTCTGTGACTAGTGCATGCTCTGCCTGTGGTTTACTCTTTTACAATGTCTAGCTGCATGGCTGGGGAATTAGACTGCTTTCAGACTAATCAAAAAGTCAATATACTCCTATTGCCTTTTAAAGGTTAAGGTGCATTCAAAAAGCAGGTATGAAAGCAGACATCTACAGAGAACCAAGGCCAATTAAGCCCACAGAATCCTCTAGGTTGCTTTTTTGCTTTTCAAAACATTCCTTCCTTGACAGATTAAAGATTTTCCTTTTTCCCCTTTTTCTCTCACGAGTTTTTTTTCCTCTTCATTTCTTGCCTTTTCTGTTCATCCTTTGCTCCGTGACCTCTAGTCTTTTTTGAATAAAAAATTACTATAATCATTTCTTGTTTAATTATCATAATTTAATTTCTGTTCCCCTTTAACCTTTACAAAGTCAGATGAATTCTGGGGTAGGTGTTCATGGCAGGATTTCTTTTTGCATGCCAAAAGTACATAGAGGGTCTCTTCCTTTCCTGATGATGTGAGAAAGACGTTTTGATTACAGAATAATAGAATGGTTTGGGTTGCAAGGGTCCTTAAAGATCATCTAGTTCTAAAACCTGTCATGAGCAGGTACACCTTCCACTAGACCAGGTTGCTCAAGGCTCTGTCTAACCTGACCTTGGGCACTCCCAGGGATGCACAGTTGCTGGATGCACTACAATATTAGAGGCAGTGTGGAATCCTGGACATGTTCAGTCCAGTTACAGTCATCCTGATCTTCCTTAGGTGCAGAGAAGAATGCATACAGATGGGCAACTTCTGTCCAAAGTCATACCACGGAATTCTCTTCCCATTGAATTCGGGAGAGATGATGACTCCTGAGCTGGAAAGGTCAAAAAGGGGTCAGAAGGAAAGGATAAACAATTACCCAAGAGCAAGCTGGTTCCTCTGTCCAACTCTAATGGTCAAGCAATTCCAAAGTGCAGTAGGAAACTTGTGGTGCTCTTTCTTCAGTGGTAGAACTAGCTTTCTAAAACATTGTGGTACTTAAAAGATCTGTAAGGTATCCTGACTCCTGCCAGACCAGGATGAAAAAAGAGATCAATATTCCTGCAGCATGCACAGGCAGTGTCATCTGCTTCTTTACAAGAACTGCTGCAGGCTGTCCCTGTCTTCACATCCTCTCTAACAGCCAACTGAGCAATTTCTGGTGATCTGATATCTCCATGAGTTAGCGGCATGCTTATAGGAAAAGGGAAATCTCCAAGCCTTTCCATTGTTGGGATAGTTTTAGATTCAGAGCCTGGATGTGGTGTTCTGAAGTTCCCTCAGAATATTTTTTCACACAGTCCTTCGTTAATTATTTAGCACAGCTCAGCTTTCTCTGGCTGCCAGACAAGACAGTATAGTTGACTCCTGGAACTCTTACCAACAAGTAAATACTATCTTTGCTGTTATCAACTGCTTCAGTTGCAATGGACTATGGAGAACCAATATCCAGCAAATGACAGCTGTAACGTAGTACCAGGGACCACCTATTCCCTCACCCTTCCCTGGCTATCATGTGCAGTTTCTCAGGCTGCAGGAATCAGGGTGAAGGGGAGCAAGACAAAGTAACTATTCTGCAAGTGGGCCCCAGGTGTGGCTTGCATTGCCTTAGAATCTGTGAGTATCTCTACTTGAGTGTCTTAATTCAAATTACAAACATGCTTTGGAGGGAGATTTCCCAATGGCCTGAGCTCTTCACACCTTGATTTTCATTGTGGAACTGTTTGGGGTACATGGACAGGGTGACATTTGTGTTAAACTAATCTGAAATCTGTGATCTCTTGGAAAACACCTAATGTGCTCCAACCTTTCTGGGCATCCAGTTAGCAACAGCTAGTCCAGAGTTCTCCTCAGGACACAGATAATGGGCTGTCAGGTCCTTGGCATCAAATGTTGTGCTGCCCAGATCAATTTCTCTTGCACCGCACCCCTTGCTAATTGACCCTGGCAGCTACTGCAGTACCTAGAAGCTACTCATAAGTACAGGATCCATCTTCCCAAGTGAGATAGAGGCTGTGACAGATGTCACATTTAGGACAGCACATTACATAGATTAATTTCCCCAGATGGTAAAGATCATTCACTTCATCATCTTAAATGTAATTTATGTGTCTGTAAGTTTAAAAAAAATAAAGCGACTGGTAACACTGTATTCTTTCATCATTCTAATGCACAAATTCAAATATTATAAAGTGACCAAAAACTCTAAGACAATTAATTTCTTCCCTCTTATTCTCCAAGCACCCTCCATCATTTGCAGACAAACTGAATTCTTGTTTTGCCAGGACACCTGAGAGATGTACATCAATGTGGGGACTGAGAAGTGACATTCAAAGTCAAGGTTCAACTTAGGCTGTTTCTACACTAGGTGCCCATTTCCCTTTGAGTTCATCTGGACTTCAGACACCAAACCTTTGAATACTGTACAAAGAAATGCATCATTAGTGTTATTGACTCTTGCCTTTGCTAGAATATCACATATTACAGTACACATCACTGATTCATTACAGTTTGCATTGCCAGGAAGCTTCAATGACATGCTTAATTAGGCAAATCCAAGCTGAGTTAATCTAGAAATAGGACCTGTATAAACAGCAGAAATTTAGGTTTGTGATTAATATAGCAAATGTAATTCTGCAATGTAATTTAAATTATGTGTATGTCATATCATAAATCTAAGTGCTTCCGAAGTCTGTAGGCTTCATGCCAGCATTAATTTTTGTAGAAAGTATGAAATATTTCTCATGTTTGATTGCTTTTTAAACTCCATGTCTGATATACTCTCAGAAGTTTTTCCCAGTCTGCTGTCTTGTGATATTTAATGGAGTTTAAAAATAAAAATTTATGCCTACATATAGCTTGCTTATGTAGGTGAAATAATTTACAAAAGAAAATGAGGTATTTCAGAGATTAAAGCTTTTTGTTAAGGCAAACTATGGCAAAGTTATATTTAAGTCCTTTGACACTAATTTATGAAAATACATTAAATTTAAAAGATTGAAAATAGAAATTTTTTTTAATTTTTCAGTATATAATGCATACAAATGTGCACTGAAAATTATTCCCGTGAAGCAGGCCTCCCACATTAATCACTCAGGGAAAAATTTATTTTCTATTTCATAGAGGTATAAATGTAGAGATCTAAAGCAAAAATTTATACAAAAGTTGTTAAATTCCAAACACTGCTTAATAATGATTACTAATACTGTATTGGTTGTCTGATTCAGAACTCGTTCTCATGACCTGGTACACAGCATGATCATGGCAGAAGTTTGTGCTATCTCAGATTCATGGAATGAGGCATCAAATTATTTTGTGGATATGGTCTCAGTATGGGGCCATTATGCATTTACCCATTATTAGTATTTTATTTATTTATCAGTCAAATCAGTTTAAACTAATTGAAGACGATTAACCCAGGAGATGTCAGGGAGAGGTAGATTATAGAAATGTAAAATCGTAGAATCGCTTGGGTTGGAAGGGACCTTTTAAGATCAGAGAAGATAGAATCTTCTTCTAACTCTGCCCAGCAGTGATAAGCCAATATTGCTTGAGCTATTTTCAGATTTGAGGATAAAAAATGAAGTTTCAGTGATTGCGCTTAGGTATCATGGATTTAGGTTTTAAGTTATCAGCTGGATTTAGCTTCTTCAGAACCCAAAGATACAACTGAACTTTCTTACAAGCACAAACTGTCTCCTTTTATATTCTTGTTTTAATGAAGTAACAGGAAAGCAAAAAGAAAATGAAGACTTGAGTCTCAGTAAATTAGACAGCTAATTTCTGGCAATGATTGGCAGTCAGAGTCTGGACTCAATACACAATTCCCAGTAAAGCTCTGCTTGGGCACAGCTTCCACTCGCCCAGACTGGCAGCTGTGGAGCACTCATGGAGCCAGCACAACATCTGCTGGGATTGCACACACACACACACACACATACACACAACCCTCTGCATTTCTAGAAAATGCAGTGGGTGAGAACATGCAGGCTTGAGAACAAGTGTGTGTTCTACAGTGTGGATGCAACCCACGTTCTTTGGTATATGTCCAGAGAATAGGAAAGCCAGCACATGTAAGCAGGGACCACCAGTTGTCTCACTTTCTCAAGCCTTCATATTCATCTGTTTAGTGTTGGCTGGTGTCATCAGGAAAGGTGAGTAAATATTCATTATCAAAACCTAATAGGTATCAATTCTGATCCTGCAGTGCCTCTAGATGAAGCAGTTCTATAATAGTCAATAGAAGCAATATAATCACTAGCCTGTTGCTAGGATTGGGCTTTTTCTTTCCTTCTCATGATTTTTAATTAGTACTTCTACCCTTTAGCATGAAAATTATACCAAAATTCTGAAGCAACAAAGCCTTATCTCTTTGAAAAATAAAAATCATTATTCCTGCACAGCTGATCTAACAAGGTGATTACTCAGATAATACAGTGCCTTCCTGCCATCTTGTGGCACTGCAGGGTTTGCAACTTACTGTTTGTTATACTGTATACTTTTTATTTCAAATTAACAGTTTTTAAGTTTCAGCTGTCATCTAGTTAAACAACACACACATACAGAGAGTGAAATCTTGGTCCAGCTAATTGCAGTGTCAAAAATCTCACTGATTAAAAAAAGTTCCAGACTATATTAATTTTATTTATTTCAATGTCTTATGATGTCAAAAATGAAAACAAATTGAAACTAACCAATGTAAAACTGGGTTTCAGGTTAATAGATTAGGTTACTCTTCTACTGAAATAATCTGCAGTTATGTATGAAATAATACCTTGCATTTGTATTATGAATTAATCTATATTTTTCATTTGGGATGCTTTTTCAAATCTTCCTAAAAAAAAAGGGAAAATCTATCTTTTATATGACTTCAGAGCCTGAAAGGGCTTGTTCAATGTTTACTTATTTTTCTAAAATAAAGGAACATATGAGATTGTGTTACTGTCCAATTTCCTGCTCCTGCTTTTAGGCTGGAATCACCAACTCGATCTTTGAGCATGGATGCACCACGAGGAATTAATATCAAAGCACAAGCTGGGAATATTGAAGCTCTTTCCCAGATGGATATCAAGCTACACAGCAGTGATGGCGTGGTGAGTTCAAGCCCTTCTTTTCCAATAACTGTGGTTGATCTTCTGTGTGACTCTAACTTCAAGTCTTTTTTCCAAGTTCTGCTAATTAAATTCCTCAGGTTTTTGGTGGCAGGATATTGAAATAAATAGTGCCAATAATAAAACTTTTATTTATGTAAATAATAGTACCAACAGACATAATGTTGTATTAGCTTAGAGAGATGCTTTCTAATAAAACTTGGATACTGCTTAGCTCTCCACTACCACAGTGGTTCCCAGGCACCCCAGTGGGGAACTTTGGCTCAGAAGCAGATTCAGCCCCAAAGTGACAAAATTAAGGAGGGAAACTCTGCAGACATCATTAACAGCAGGCAACATGCATCAGCCTATTTATCCCCTCTGCTGTACTGTGCCAGTTCTTCCACAAAGGAGCTACAGTCCAACCCACGTCCATCCTTAACCAGCTGGCTCTGCAGTGAGGCCTCAGCACCCAGGCCAGGACACACCTGGGTCCAGCAGCAATGCTTGTGTCCTGCTCTTCTGTGCATGGGCAGGAACCCTGTCACTTACCTTAGAATTATAGAGTGTATTGTGCTGGAAGGAGCCTTAAACATCCTCCAGGTCCAACTTCCCCTACCATGGCCAGGGACACTTTCAACTAGACCAGGCTGCTCAGAGCTCAATCCAATCTGGCCTTGAACACTTCCAGGGATGGGTCATCCACAATTTCTCTGGGCAACCTGTTCCTGTGCCTCACCACTGAAAGAAATTCTTTTTTATATCTAATCTATCTTCTTTCAATTTAAAGCCAGTATCCCTGATAAAGCATCCCTCCCCAGCTTTCTTGTAGGCTCCCTTTAAGTGTTGGAAGGTTGCAATGAGGTCTCCCCAGAGCCTTCTCCTCTCCATGCTGAACAATCCCAATTCTCTCAGCCTTTCCTCATAGTAGAGATGTTCCATCTCTCTGAGGATCTTCGTGTTCCTCCTCTGAACTCACTTCAACAGATCCCTTTCTTATTTTAGGGGCCCCAGAGCTGATGCAGCACTGCAGGTGGGGTCTCACCAGAGCAGAGCAGAGAGGCAGAATCCCCTCCTTGCCCTGCCTGTGCTGCTCCTGTTGCAGCCCAGGATGTGACTGATTTTCTGGGCTGTGAGCATGCATTGCTGGCTCATAAATAGGTTTTCATCTGTCAATACCCCCACATCTTTCTCCTCAGGGCTTCTCTCAATCCATTCATCACTCTGCTTGTATTCATTTTGGGGATTGCCCCAACACAGGTGCAGGACATTGCACTTGGCCTTGTTGAACTTCACGAGTGCTCTGCTACCAGGGTGGGCACCAGCTTATTCCTGTCCTGTGTTTATATCTGCCAAGAGCCTAGGGCTTAGAGAAACTTTGTATGTAACAAGTCCTTTGTAAAAGGCCATTCTTAAGCCTCTGCCTAGCCAAATTCAACTTGTCTCATGGCATGTTATTGCTTTACTATCTCTAACAACCCCATTTGTCCTTCTTTTTCCCTTACAGCTTTTGCTCGATGCTGAAACTGTGCGACTGCCCAAGCTGCCTGAGGGTGCCAGGGGTGGATCCGGGATTTCTCAGGGGCTCTATGAAATCTGTGTGTGTCCAGATGGAAAGCTCTACTTGTCAGTGGCCGGCATGGGCTCCACTTGCCAAGAATACAGCCGAGTCTGCCAGTGAGGCACCCAAAAAGTCACACACCCCTTTGGGCATCTGAGATTTGTATTACTCCTAAATAGCGTTACTGAAAGCATATTTTTCAGCATTTTAAAAACAAAGTACTTACAATTTAGGGAACAAATCTGCATCTACAGTTCTGGAATACAGGGTGTAAGGGGAAGAAGAGCACAAATGACATTTCCACTTCAGAAGAATGACTTGAATCAAATGTTTTGTCAGTAACATTTGGAAAACAGCCTTACAGAGAGCATAAAAAAATAAAACAAATGTTTCCTTGCTGAACTATTATTCAGTCAGATGATTATGTCAGTGTTCATATTTTTGAGATCCGTGGGTTTTCCTCTCACTACATGTACACACTTACTGTATTAGTGGGTGAAATTAAATTGAGGGAACTACTTGAATTATTTGTAAGACAAACCATTATTTGGAGAATTCAGAAAGTGCCAGCAAATGGTCTATGCAATTTTGTTCTTGCAATAACACAGGATAGAAAAATGTGGTATTTGTATGAGTTCTGTGTAAAAGATGTTGATTTCCTAATAGCTTTCTATTTTAATTTGGCAACACATATGCTGATTTACTTGTTACTGAGATTCATATAAAAATAACTAATGCAAAAACTCCAGAAGTCACAAAGGCCTCTCTGTGTCTCAAATCCATTCACTATACAACAGAGAAGTATGTTTAATAGCAATTGTTTATTCTACTGCCTGTACCATCATATTTATTTAAATCTTTTTTTATTTTAGGACATGCTAATTCAACAAGGCAATCTGTTGTGCCAGCTGGACTAGTAAAAAAAAAAAAAAGTGTCTTCAGATTGTCTGACACAAGGAACTATTTGGGCAGTGGGAAAAAATCCTTTTATGCAGCCCACAGATTTCAATTAAGAGGAATATTTCATTCCCATCTGCACCTGTTTACTGGTATTTTTGATCCTGTCAGAGTGGGACTCCATCAAAGAGTAAAATAGTTATTATTTTTTACATTAAGACTTTGGATACAAAATAAATGCTCTATTGGCCTTGTAACAAAATACAACTGCAGTCCCATTCCCCTGTACAGTGTTGCACTGAACACAAATAAATTGTTTGCACACCTCTGGGTAGCAAGACTTGTATTTAACAGTCTAATGTTTAAACCTCATGGGTTTTTAATTCCTTTGATGCTGTTTTGTATGTACTTTACGATCTTATTATCCAGGAAGGAGCTATCACATAGTGCCTTGGTGTCTATTTACAGAAGGATTTTTAGTAAACCATGAATATCCACCTTTGGGAAAAAAAATTAATCATTACCTTTAAAACACAAGAATCAGGACAAAATAACTACTAACTTTTTTAAAACTTGCCACTTCAGCTCTGGTGAAAAAAGGGAAGAAAACAAGAAAAACACACAAAAACCAGAGCTGAGAAAGAGTCCCCCATTAACAGTTTTCACTATTATTATGGTAAAGCCCAGGGCAGTCCCTGCTTCAAGGGCTGCCTTTGCAATTTCTCTAAGAGTCTGATGTACGGGACTAAAACTGCCTTTCAGCAATTTATGCAAACTCCAAGAGCTCCAGCAGCGCAAGTAGGAAACACTTAAGGTGAGCTTAGGCAAGTGAAGCAAGGGTTCACATTAGTGCTCCAACTGCTGTTACACTGCCTAAAGCAGAAGTAGGAAGCCACACATCTTCCATATCTGAAATTGCATTTTCTTGGGGTTAGACTCATTCACTTACTCCTGTCTTCAGGAGTGAGTCCAAGGTTCATAAGGAGAGAAATGTTTACCTCCACAACTGTATTATCTTGACATTATATGTCTCTAAGCCTAAGCCCTTAGCTGAGGCACACTTTAACAGAAACCTGTCTTCAGTATTCCTAAAAGCCAGTTTAGGTGGTTCTAGCCACATGCACAAGCTTTTACAAACCATAATACAAGCACACTTCATTGATTAGAAAGTTTGAGTACTAAAATAAAGGTCAGCAAATACCCTTGCATGTGCCAGATACCTAAAAACTGCTGCTACGAGTAACTTGGAGAACTGTAATGTCACCAATCTCATACAGGTGTAGTGTCAACAGCAAAACTGGGACTTGAGTCCTTAGAAATTTCAGCCATTGTTCTGACATCAAGGAACATATGCCCATTTCCATAGAGTATCAAACAAATAATTCACTAATCCAACCCCTAAATGTTAGCCAGATACTCCAAAATAGTTAAAATCTCTTTGTTCTGCTGGCAATAGAAGCACAACACTAAGTTATACATGTTAAGCTTTTGTTTTGGTGGCACATTTTCAATGTGATTTGCCAATTAATTGACAGCAAGGGATTGAACGGAGAGTTTCCAGGCAAGAATATCTTGACCCCTAAAGACCTAGAAAAATCAGGGTGCAGTCCCCTGGCTGGTAATACTTAAGCAGGATGGCACTTCATTTAGGTACTGCAATAACTATCACCTTTCTTGTGGAAATCTTCTGGACTTGCTTCAGTTCACTGGTGGATTCTGAGTAGTACCAAAACCTAAAGAGGTTTGCTGAACCCTCAGCACTGCCACCCAAATCACCAATGTGATCCTTTTCATTGCTTAAATTTGATTCTTCTTTTCATTATGCTACAACACTGACATCAGAGAGAACAGAAGTTGTGCACATGTTTTAAAGCATGACCGGCGACATCTTGTCACTATTTTTTCTCTTTTAGGTGTGGTTAGCAGAGAAACAAAATTTATGCTAATGTTACCAGAGCATAATCAGCGGATGCTACAATCTGAATTGCTGTTAATCTCAACATAGTTCATACATCACTAAATAACAACTTCTGATATCTCCATGTGGATGTCTATCCCCCCTCTTTAGTACTTCAAAATTACTGTTTCTGCTTGAATCAAACGTCAGTAAATAGTTACAGAGTAACAGAAAATTATAGCACAGGGAAGTGAGAGTATGGAGTTCTCTAGTTTATTTCCAAAAGCATTTTCCAAATGGAGAAGAGAAAAAATCACTACCAGCATAGTGAACTGATTTGTTTGCATATTTACTCCCTCAAAAAGAATTATTTACAGCTGTTATTGCAACTGGTTTCAATTGTTACACTGGAAAAGCTATAGAAAAGCTTCATTGGTGATTGTGCAAACACAAGCTTTTTTTTTTCCATTTCACAGTCCTTTAGTATTTGCAGTTGCCTATCTTTATATAGCTTTATGCAAAAGGAAATTGCAAGCATTGGAAACAGAGTTCTTGAATAAACTTTATACATTTTGAACAGTCTGCTTCTGCTTCTGTATTCAAATGAAACACAGCTTAAATGAATGTTTTCATTTTTAAAACAAAATTGTTTTTCCAAGACTAAGAATGTGAAATGTACTTTATTTAAAAACATGAACAGAATTCTTGGTCCCAGCTAAAAATATACTTACCAGAATTTAGGAAATGCTTTAAAATTAGGTTTCATTGGACATCTGGAATTCCTTTGTCTCAATCAATATAGGTGAAAGTAAACAAAGATATTACAGCAGTGCTACTGAATTAATCATCCAGAAAACAAACCAAAGAAAAGATAAACAGTTTTGATTAAAAATGCATTGACAAAACCCTTCATGTGACAAAAATTGTGTCTTCGTCAAATGAAAACATTTATTTTGGCTGCCAGGTTTAGTTATTTTTGAACTATTAGTTCTGCCTTTGTTCCCCAAGACCAATCCAGCCTTTCTCAAAGAGTTTAGATCCAGCAATGGAAAATCTCAAAGGGGGTACTAACTCCTCTACTTTAATTGGAAGAATTACAATAGATTTAATTACAGCCTTGTTTAAATCAACCCAAGTATACCAGTACCTGAATGCAATCCTTATAGTAAATTTTAAATCCTATTTCACAAATCATTACAGTAACTTTCCTGATAATAATTTGAGTACAAATATTGCAAAACTGCATTTTTTACACAATAAACCATTTATTCTTCTTCTAGTAGTCAGCTACACAAAACATCTATGTCCTTAACAAAGAAAAAAACAA